AAATGACAATGATCGTAACTATATTTTTCTTGCTTGTAATGTTTTAATTCAAAAAGGAAGTCGTGCTTGTTCGTAATTTTACAAACGGCTCTGTAGATCGATCTTTTAGTGTATCATATTCGCTTCTTGTTAGCGTTCAGGATTCATCGGTACAGGAGTCATTGAATGCCTATCATGGTAAGCAATACTATCATTCGATGTTGGAGGAAAAGGTACGAACTCAAGAGATGATAATCTCGACTCGTCCTAAAAATGTATAAAATGAACGACATTGTCTTTCCCTCATCAAAAACAAATTGAAATATGAAACATTTTTTAGTTTATAGAAATTCCTCGCCGAATTTCCAGTTTCTTGGAATTTATTTATGGAAAGCCCACTTCGATTTTCTATAAACTGGAACTCTTCTTTGCTCCTAGAATTTTCATAAATAATTTTCAGACTGCTGGAAATTCGCCAAGGAATTTGCAGTTTATGGAAAATCGACGTTGAATTTCTATAAATAATTCCCAAGAAAGTAGAAATTCCTATTTGATTTTCTATAAATTGGAAATCCTTTGGCGAGTCTGCACCGGGTGGCGGCGTGACAAGATTGTACGGTTCTTGACCTCGTCCTTCATGCTTTTGAGAAATTCTTGGTAGACTTCTCCGGTTTGTGGAACCTTACTACCTTACCCCTGCGCGCCGCCACTGTCTCTGACTAAATCCAAATTCTCTTTGACTGGAAATGTAGAAAATCAAAAACGAATTTCTAGACTCTTGAGAATTATTTGTAGAAATTCAAATGGAATTTCTATAAAGTAGAAATTCAACAATTTCTATAAAGTGAAAATTCCTCGGCGAATTTTGAGTCGATTTTCTATACACCAGAAATTAATTCAAGATTACAGTGTATGATTTTTATTCAATCACTAAGAAACTTGATTTCAATCAATAATTCGTAAAGAATGCCATATGTAACCCATTTGACTCCTTCATTCTGGAAACAGGTCGATCATTCCGAGCAACGAACGAAAGCGATTGATTTTCAGCAAACTTTAAATTAAGACTCTTCTGTTCAAAATGTGATGGTCTGCTATTCTCGATGTTATATTATACCTACAGGGGTAATCTAATCTATTATTCTACTATTCAGGGATAATCGATCATTGAGGCTGGTCTTCTATTCTGGTAGCAGTTTTATGGACTTGGAGCCTAGTGGAACGTTTGGCACTGCGTTTTCTGCTCTTAGGTTCGTGCTGTTGTTACAAATTCAGATGATTTAATAACCAAGATTTCAACTGATCAGATAGCACATGAAAAATGAGACGAGATTACTAGCCTACTTCAGACAAGGCTCTTTATTGGTATACAACCAATTGTTTAGATAGAATGTTGAACAAAGTTCTTAGAGTATGGGATATTAAAACATTGATGAAACTTGGTTTTTTTATTACGGATTTATATTCTCAATTAAATGATCCACACAGTGAGCAGCGTGCAGTACTTGCCAAAACAAGAACATTGTATCGCGATCAAGTAATGTCCAAAGCTGAATTAAAGCATATCAAAGCAGGACAGTTTTTATCGTTCAATAGTTTTCTTTCATCTACAGATGATCGACAATTAGCATTCAAATATCTTACAAAAACTATTTATGATGCTCCTTGTACAGAATCTGATTTGAAACAAGTATTGTTTATCGTTAATATTGATCTTAACGATAAAAAAGTTATACCCTTTGTTGATTCCTTTCCTGATATTCTTTTCCTTGATGTTTTATGTTATTTGCCATACCCAGACAACTCTTGTCGGAGACTTATTGGTTGTTTAAAGAATGATTATAAAGACAAGAAGTTAGAATTAAAAGTTTTCGACAAATTTGAACGTGACTATAAAACAGAGAAAGCTGTTTGGTAGTATATAATAAAAACTGGAGAAAAAAAATCTATCTTTGGAAAAGTTAAGGATTTAGTTCTCGATCATCTAGTTGCCAAGATTTAGTTGCCTATATTAAATAATTAGTTAAGAAAAAAGAAAATTGAGTAGCTAATTGCTAATCTAATTATTTTTGGATAAAAAAATGAAGTTTCGAGTAAACAGTAAACCTATTCTGTTAAAATTGTGATAGAATGTCGACTCTTTGTCGAACCGAGTGTTATCCCACTTCTTACCTACTTATAATCCACAGCGCAGGGTTATTCTGTCATATTTCTTCCTTCCTAAATTATATTAGTAATCAACTACTAAAGTTTCTTTTCCTTTCTTAAGTAGTTAATTAGTATAGGAAACTAAATCGTGCAGGCCGTAAATAAGATCGGAATTTAGGGCGACATGTGTGAAATTCGTACAGGAACATCTTGTGGTGAAATTTTTTTGACACATTTTATTGAGAAAGATGTAGTCTTTATTTTTCGTCAATATGTCGGTTACTTTAATTTGCGTTAATAGAAATTACTTGGCGCTCGGCTAAGACCGACTCAGATCGGATCACAAAAATCAAACTACAACTCGGAGCTGATCGGATACAAAAGAAGGTAAACTGATGGAGTAAAAATAACGTACAGTTTGAGTCTTTACTGATTTTAAACAGTTTCTTGATGCGATTAATAAAGGTCAAATA